TTCGCTCCGGACCCCCACGGGCCCCAGGCTGCTCCCAGCAGGGCTTGCAGCATCCCAGCTGCCTGCTGGCAGCAGCCTGGGCTCCCGGCTGGCAGCAGCTACCCAGAGCTGGGGCCTGCTGCAGCCGGGAGGCTGCAAACAGCTGCTGCCTCCCCAGTCCCAATGCGTGCCAGGGAAAATGGCCTCGCGTGCCATGCTCAGCACGCTTGCTAGGTGTTGCCAACACCTGGTCTAAACTGATCTTGAAAATTTCCATGGATAAAGAGATTCCACAACCCCTCTAGGTAGCCTATTTCAATGTTTAACCAACCATCTTCTCTGACATATCCTACTGTATGCCCTAGACCTGAATGTCAAGTAAAATTCTTCCATCTTACACTTGTTTTCATTTAGCACAGCTGCATATCTCTGCTTCCTTTAATTCATAAGGAAAAAGATGAATCCCTCCAGCCTCTTAAGCAGCTTTGTTCTATTTTTAACATATATATTTTCACTAGCTTTTAAATTGAAGCTGCTAGAATAGGCTTAATTTGCTGTGATAGTAAATATCTAAGCATAATCTAATTGAAGAAAGTGATGTTGTAAATACTGTCACTTTGACAGAAGAAATATTCTAACTCTAACAAAATTATTAATTAAAATTTGTTTAAACACAAGATGTGTTTAAACTTGAAGTCATTTTGTGGTACTTTAAGTTCATCTTCTTAAACCTTCAAATTAAAAGGCAAACCATAATTTAGTTATTTAGCTGGCAACTTGTTCTTAGTCTTAGCACCTTTCATGACTATAGGTTTGATCAGTTCAGCTCTTCTAACCTCGTCATCCTAAACATTGATGTTTCTCATTAATGTCTTGTTTATCCAAAATCATCTAGTCTTCTGTGCTCTGCACATGTAATCAATCCAATTACAGTTAATAGATTTTGTTCACAGACACTGAGGGAACATCTGTGATGATGATTAAGCACAAACAACAAGTAGAAAAAAAATCCCTGCTTAAAGCCTATAAAATAAAATGTGCAACATAAATATACACCAGGGAAAAGGGGTAGTGCTTGTAACATGATCACACTAGATCTGCATACTCTGTTATCCCTCATGTATTCCTGCTGCATCACTTAGGATAGATTCCTATTTTACTTTCTGCACCTAAATCAGGAGTGTCAAAGATATAGCCCACAGTTTAGATCTGCCTCATGGAGCCCTATCAAATAGCTTGCGTTGCTGCCTATGGGTTTTAGACTGGACCCACATACTACATGCAGTGCACCAGACTGGCGCACACACTGCAGAGCCAGAACTAGCCAGTGGGACTGACCTGGCCCCTTACTACTAATCCAACTCATGGGTTTGATACTACTGGCCTAAATGGCACATATGCAGCCACATAACTGCAGGTTTTGGTACCTAGGGACAGTTTTGGAATTCATTTCACTCTGCAGCAAAATAACATTGTCCGTGTGCTTGCATCTGTCATATGTGTGGTGGTGGTAGCAGAGACACTCCTCCCCCAGGTTTTAGCCCAATAGTGGTTATGGCACTACTCCAAGGACCAGGAGCCTCAGGTTGTAGGCCCCCTTTGCCCAGAGAGGACTGGAACCTCTATCTCCTACTCCCCAAAGTGCTTTAACCTCCAGGCCACCAGTTAGACATTACCCAGGGCCTCCTCTTGAAAGAGACTCACCGCACCCTGCACTTAATATTTGTCAGATAAAATGGATAAACAATACTAGGGAAATTTCTCTTCCATCAGGGGCAGAATCCAGAGCCCTCTCCAACCTAGTACAGCATCCATCTCATTAAGCCACATACTCTCTGACTTGTTTTCTTCTTTCTGACCCACCTATCTTCCTCTCTTTACTGCCCAGTGGGCCAGCTTCAAGAATTTTTTTTGTAAGAGTAAAACAGACATTGAAGCATAGTCCCACATTTATACAGAGTTGTCATGACTCTGGAAGATACAAGTCTTCCAAGGATTCTGAGATAATATGAGAGAACCTCTGAGACACCATAAGTAGCCAGCTAAGCAGTCCCATGGAGAGAAACGCTGGGTCCTGGCTCTGCCTCATCTTTATCGTTTGGTCAAAGAGCTAGTCCCTAACATTAGGCACAGATGCACAGCTGGAGGTAGATAAAAGCAAACCTTTTCCTTTCTTCTTCAGATGACAACCCCCAGACCCATCCATTCTTATATAGTACATTTAATATGTCCAAGGTCTTGCTTCTATAGAGTTCTTGGTATTCACATTAGTATCTGAATGGGGGGAAAAAAACACCCGGAAAAGACTGATACCACTTAAATTACACTTTAAGATCTAGCCACACAATAACCTCCCTTTTAACTTCTTATCTAAGTAAATCAATTCTTTAATGCTGCATATCACATCTTTAGAAATCAGAGAAAGGATGCAACTAAAAACAAGCGCTGTGGTGACCAGACATCAGCTGACAGCCAGAACATAAATCCAGGTGTAGAAACAAGATGCATAATGTGGAAGAAAGCTGGAGTATCCAAAATTCTGATAATAAAAAGCAAGCTCTGAAAGGGAATGGAGGGAAGAAAGAGCAAAAAGCTCACTTACGGGACTCAGTGAGGAGCTGCTTAAAGAGCTGAGCTTAATTAAATGAATCAGGTACTGAACATGGTCATGGAACAAGATAACCAAGTAAAAACATTCAATAACTTGTTGAAGGAGGTAAAAAAAAACAGAATAGGTTGCTAATGGTAGCCAAAAAGGTCAAGGACAGTAAGAAAGGCTTCATTCAAGGGAGAAGAGAAATAGTAAAGAGGAAGTAGGCCGCCTAATAAATTGAAGAGGGACACTAAATTAGATCTTAAAATATCATGGTGATAAGTTCTATGTAGAAACAAAGAGTAAATTACTGGTTGCACAAAAAATTACATGCAAAAGAAAGAAGAGGACACTAGCCTGCACAATTAAGACATCCTTTTAAAAAGAGCTACATAAAAAGCAGCGAATACTTCAAAAATAGCATTGTCTTAGCTCTTATGAGGTTGCATAACCTTTATTAGGGCAAAGTACAATCTCTGCTATAACCAAATGAGCATTCAGTAGCAGTAATATTAGCTACTTACTGTTTGTGGATGCTTCCTTTTCTTCAGATTTTCTCTGATTTCCATACATAGGTCCTGTTTCTCAATTTAAAACATTATGCATTTCACTTCTTCATGATTTTGATGACTTATAATAACAAACCATATTTCCAACTATAGACACCTAGGGGCAATATCTGACCATGATATACCTTGAAAAGTGTGCTGCCTTTTCTGATTTCATCCAGTTATCAGGCTAGTCACAGTGAAGCTAAGATTGGCTTGGGGGAGCTGATATTTCTATTTCTGCTGTGAACTTGGAAGGAGCTCAGACTCCTAGCATGAAGGTTTTCTTACAGTGGAATAGCTTCTTACCTCTCTTGGATGACTGGCAATGGCAACAGTGCCATCTGTGTTGTATTTGATAGGTGCTCCTCCTTCCTGCACCAGTGTCCCATACCCCGTACTTGTAAAAAACGCTGGAATTCCTGCCCCTCCTGCACGGATGCGCTCTGCCAGGGTGCCCTAGAGGAGAACAAGCAGATAACAGACTTCAATTTGATTTCCCCAAAAGAGCAAGTATATTATGCAGTTTGTGCACACTTTCTTTGGTCTTGCAACTTGGGGCTTTTCTTATTTTTTTTCCACTAACTAACATGCTCACAAGTCATTCAGTCAATTTTCTCCTTTTTTTATTCTCTTCTGCTGATGTGGTATAGCATTTGGCAATAAAACCCACCAGTTACTCAATAGCGTATTGTAGTCAAACTCCCTGCTCAGTCTCAGGCTCTAGCTCTTTGTTATATCTTATTTGCCCCTTGTTTGGATACCTCTTTCCTGGATAATTAGTTACAGTCATCCATTCTGTATCATCTTCCTCATTCCCCACTTGGCTGCCTAAAAGTTGTCCTTTATATCAACCTATAAATTTGCTTCATCTCTAGTCTTCAAACTCTGATACTCTAGAACAGGGATGGTGAGTCTGTAACACACATGCCACAAGTGGCACAGGCAGCCTGTGTGTGTGGCACACAGGAAGTCAGGGAGGAGATGCAGAGGCAGCACAGTGTCAGATAAGGCAGAAAGCAAATTGGGTGGAGGAAAAAGAATCAGACTAGCACTCCGGTGTGGGGGGGAGGGGTGCTAGGCTAATTTGTGGCAGGCCTGCCAAGAAGGTGGGCCCCACTGCTCTAGAGTAGCCTTTCGCAACCTTTTCAGACTCAAGGCACCCCCTCCAAAATTTTTCAGAATTCAGCAGTACCTCATTTTAAAATATTAATATGAACAAATTATAATATAAGCAGTGTAATTCTACTATGAATTAATGTTATTGATCATATAATAAATATATCAAACCAAAGCATATAGGGCAGTTTCTGCCCATGGCAGTGGTGCCAGCATTGTGGCATCCCAGTTGAGAACCACTGCTCTATGGATAGCTGCTAACATTCAGAGTTAGAATCATAGAAAATGAGGATTGGAAAGGACCTCAGGAGGTCATCTAGTCCAATCCCGTGCTCAAAGCAAGACTATCCTCAACTAGATCATGCCAGCCAAGGCCTTGTTTACCCAGGTCTTAAAAACCTCCAAGGATGCAGATTCCACAACCTCTCTGGGTAACCTGTTCCAGTGTTTTACTACCCTTCTCATGAGAAAGTTTTTCCTAACATCTAACCTCCCTTGCTGCAACTTGAGACCATTTCTCCTTGTTCTGTCATCTGAGACACTGAGAACAGTCTAGCTCAGGGGTGGGCAAAATGCGGCCCGCCAAGCCATTCTATCCGGCCTGTGGGGTCCCTAAAAATTTTAGAAAATTAATATTAATCTGCCCTGGGCTGCCTGTCATGTGGCCCTCGATGGCTTGCCAAAACTCAGTAAGCGGCCCTCCACCCAAAATAACTACCTGCCTCTGGTCTAGCTCTATCCTCTTTCTAGCCACCCTTCAGGTAGTTGAAGGTTTTATTAAACCCCCTTCAGTCTTCTCTTATCAAGACCATTCTCCAGTTGAGGAGCAATGCTTTGTAGTTTGAACAGGAGACAGCAAAGGAGGAACACCAAGTTCTCAGCTTGAATAAATAGAAGATCACTGTATGCTCTCTTAAATTTAATATGCAGTTTCCATCACCTCACCTGCATTCTGTCCTGCCTTACTGTCATCATCGTTATCCAGTCTAATGTCATGCGTAATACAACTTATCAAATCCCACCCTACCCACTAATTCCTGTACAAAACCCATGACTTCTGATTGATTAAATGTTACATCTTTTTTAAAGATATGTAATCTTGATGTAAATATGGATTGCCCATCTAAAGTTATGGAAAATCAACTACATCTAGCAAGTTGCTCCAGTTGTTAATGAATTTTACTGTTGAACATTTGCATTTCGTAGGCCCAGAATTACCATAGATCTCAATTCAGATAAAAACATCTGTGAAATTATTTTTTCAAGGTGGGGTTACTGATTATGAAGTGGGGAGAGAAAAAGTGGATTGTGAGGTTGGAGGGAGTAAGGGGCATAGAGTAGGTTGGAGGATAGAAAATGTTTGGTGGTGGAAGAATGAGGAGGAGCCCATGGTAGAAAAGGGTGTTGGATGCTTCTTCATTTGTGTCTGGGATTCTGATAAGGAGCATCTAGCCTAGAGCCAAGAGTGATTACATAGTATACCAGGGGCAGGCAATTATTTTGGGCGGAGGGCCGCTTGATGAGTTTTGGCGAGCTGTTGAGGGCCGCATGAGTAGCCCCACCCCTTCAGTTGCCCCACCCTCTGGCCGCCCTCTTGGGACCAGAAGCCCCGCCCCCACCCCTGACCTTTGCCACCGGAAGCCCCACCCCCTGACCCCTGCCACTGGAAGTCCCTCTTCTTGCACAACTTACCAGGTAGCAAGGCGTTGAAGTCCCTCCTCTTGCACAACTTACCAGGTAGCAAGGCGTTGTGACCCCTCTAACATCCTGCCCCAGCAGTGGGGCTTCAGGGGCATCAGACCTCCCCCAGAACTTTCCCCCTACCTGTGCCAGCTGGTCCCAAAAGGAGAAGGCTCTGCCACCGCTTCTGCTGGCCAGTGCCAACCCAGTTGGGCTCACCCCATCCCCAGCAGAACCTGGGAAGCTGGCTTCAGCTGCATGCTGCTCTAGATGGGCCGGTCCCGACCAGGTCTGCACCAGCCAGGAAAAGCGGCATGCAGCTGAAGTCAGCTCCTCACGTGCTGCTGGGGATAGGAGGAGCCCAGCTGGGTCTGCACCAGCCAGGAAAGGTGGCACGCAGCTGAAGTCAGCTCCTCATGTGCTGCTGGGGACGGGAAGAGCCCGGCCAGGGCTGCACCGGCCAGCAGAAGCAGCAGCGGGGCCGGGTGCCCCTTCGG